GTGTGGGTTTTTTTGGTTTGTTTGTTTATATGTTGGTTTGCTTTGTTTGTTTGCTGTTCTTTGCTCTGTTCGGTGTAGATCCGGCGACCTTCTTTTTTCTTCGGCGGATCTGTGGCGGCACGCGCGAGGACTGCCAGATCTGACGCTCACCGCGGCTCCCCTGCTGGTTCCGAGGCGACGGCAGGCTTGATCGGGATACCGCCTGGGTATCCTGTCGCCACCCCCCAGCCAAAACGACATTGTTTTGGCTGGGGATTCTTTTTTTTTTTTTTTCCTTCTTGCATAATGTATCGGTCAAATTCGGATGTACCGGCTGATACACAAAATTCCGGCCGGTACACCGGATTTTGACCGAAACGACCGAATTTTGATTGAAACGAAATTTAATATTGTACCGTTTCGGTCAAGTATCAAAACCGATACGTACCGACCGTACGACCGATACGGTACGAGATTGACTTCTTTGATCTCAATCCCTTTTATAACTCGAGTTCTTTCTTAGTACATAATTTTTAATTTCCTATCCAATCTATAACAAGCATTCATGCTATTTTATTCCATGCTCTACTTAATTCTTACATTCTTTGAAGCACTGTAGTGGATTTGTGCATCAGTCAACTAAAGAGATGTAAATCTTACTTTCCTTTGCCCTTATCCAATACGATGATCTTACCTAAATTAAGTCTACAATTTCCTCCATGTTACCGCCTTGTTTTGAAACAATATGTCGTTCCTCCAATTCCAGATTACCCAACATCCTGAAAAAAATAGCAACATCCATGTCTTTTGCTTACACTTTAACAGGTTTAGGCCTTCATGTTGAACCAAAATCTCCTTACAAGGATTATGGATCACTGTATTCACACTCCACCAACTATATATATACCTTATTCCAAATCTCCATGCTCTTTTCACATTCTGCCAATAGGTGGTCTGTTGTCTCTTCTTTTATCCCACATAAAACACAATTCAAGTTTACCAATGCATCCATAATTCCTCTTTTCCTCAGGTTTCTCTTTGTTGGGATCTTATCCACACAAATGCATCCACCTTCTGTGGTGCCAGCTTATTCCACACCAACTTGTAAACTTCTTTGTCTTCTATGTAGCTATTTTCTATCAGTGTGTTGTAAGCAGACTTGACCGTACTGCCCTGCTTTATCTTTACTCCAGCGCCATTGGTCCTCTTTTCCTTCCTGCAAAATAATTGAAAGTTTATCCCCTTTCTATTTCTCATGGTAGCTGAGGGGCTGCATGGACTTATATGTGATGAACTGGTCTTCTATTAGTGTGTTGTAGTCATTTTTGCACTCTGAACTCCTCGGTAGGGCTGCCATTAACTAAAACTGATACCCTTGCCGATTCCACGCAGTGTTTTATCCATCCTCTCCATTTTTCATTAAACCCCATTCTCCCTAACATGTAGAATAAAAAATCCCATTGCGTCGTACTCTCTGTATCTTCTAGATGTACTGAAAAAAGGGAGCTCACGGCTTAATTGATAACAACAAAATTATTAAGGATCAAATCAATGCAACTTTGTGAGGACATGTGGTGGAGAAATACTATGGTGGAGAGAAAAAGGTGGGTGTTGGAAATATTAGAAGGAGGAGACTATCCAAAGTTTGGGAGGACATTGTTTCTATAGGTGGTGAGAATAATGAGATGAGTGAGTTAGTGAAAATTGGATTCAAATGGGAAGTTGGAGACGGTAACAACATTAAATTTTGACAAGACAATTGGGTGGAGCAGAGGTGTATAGGGGCTGAGTTTCCAAGATTGAAGAACCTGGCAAGAAACAAAGATATTAAAATTAGTGAGATGGGATGTTGGAGCGAGAGGTTTTGGAGGTGGAGGAATGATTGGAGAATAACTTTGTTTGGGAGGGAATGTGAGGATGCAAAATTACTGATAGAAATGTTAGAAGGGGTTCGGGTGAGGGAGGGGATTAGAGATAGAAGGGTTTGGAAGTATGATAATAGTGGAGAATATGCTGTAAAAAAGGCTTATTCTTTGTTGGACTCGGAACAGAGAGTGCTGGAGAAAGATTTTTGTAAAGCTATATGGAATAATTTATTGCCAAGAAAGGTTAGTTTTTTTACTTGGAGATTTTTCTTAAACAGATTGCCAACTAAACTCAACCTAGAAAGGAGAGGCTTTCAATTGGAAGGAGGAATTAATAGCTGTGGGAAATGTGGAGAAGAAGTCGAGGATGAAGGACACGTCATGCTTTCTTGCAGGTTTGCCCATCAAGTGTGGATGAAATGCTTCAGTTGGTGGGGATAAGTGGCTGTACTTCCAAATACAATTGAGGAGGCATATAGACAAGTGGCTTTGGGGTTCTTCAATTCAAAGATACAAAAAGTGTGATCTTTTGTCTTTGTTGTCATCTTATGGTCACTTTGGAGTGCGCAAAACAATCTCATTTTTGGAGCAACAGAAGCATCTGTGGAAAGCACATTTCAAACCATTCAAATTAGAACATTTATATGGTTAAAAGGAAAGGCAAAGGGATTTACATTTTCTTTATATGAATGGTCAAATAATCCCTTGGAGTGTGCTAAAGTAGTTAACCAGTATAGGATGCTGCAATATTTAAATGTAGTCCTTAAAATATAAATCTTTATTTTGAAATTTTATATTAATATAAAATGTGTTTGAAGGAATTTTTTTTACCTCTTTAATAATATCTTATTTACTGATAAAAAAAAAATCAACGCAACTTTGTAAGATTAAAGGCAAATGGAAGAATAAACATTTCAGCTTTCTCATCCATAAACTAAAATAAATAATATCGTTAAACAGTAAGTACTCGCCTCCCTTATTACATGTGGAAACAGTGACAGAGAAAGAAATCGAAGAAATCCAAGAGTCAACACCGAATCCAACTGACGATGGAGTAGATGGTCCGGTTCCGAAGCAGACTCCGAGCCCCGTGACGGCGAAGGTACCCGAAGTAGAGGTTCACCTTATCGCCGCGGCAAAAGTCTCATGGCCGTCCTCAAGTCGAACTTGGTAGGATGGGAACAGAACCAGCTCGACGTCCTTGAAATTCTCGAGAAGCACCGGTTGAAATCAGTATACGCTTTCAATTCCGGTTCGGGTCGGAAGTTCCTAACCGTTTCGGTTCCACCTGGGAACGGATGGTCAATCCGTGGATACAACGATGGAAACCTCTTGAGTTAAAAAATCAGTCATCTCATGAAAATTTAATATAATATTTGGATGATATTGTATTGGGACATCTAAAAATTCAAGATATTTTGATATTAGAATTATCAAAATATCTAATTATAATTATTATTTAAGTGAGATTTTATTTAAATAATAATTTATGATTAGATATTTTAACAATTTTAATGTTAAAACATATTGATTTTCACTTTTTTATTTTGTACTTATATAATTTTTTTAAATAAAGTAATAAAGATTTTTTATATATTAAAAAACAATTATTTTATAACAAAAATACAATAAATACCCAAAGCCAGTTAGTACATCATATACTTACAGCACGGCTACATTTATGGATTAGAAGTACAATCAACCAGACCCGCACACCACAAATCCACCAAACGGTGCAAGAAAAATATTCTACACGACCAAGACAGTTGCACAGGAGAAAGATCAACAATAGAAGACTGAAGCAACCAATCCAAGACTAAGCAAGGCAGCACCCGCAACAAGACACCCCCCACCATCGAAAGAGTGCACTCCAAACAGAAAAGGCAAAAGAGCAATGCATGAATTAGATACAAGTCCTTATATCTTGTGATGTGTGCATTCCATTATATCTAGCTAGGGTTTTCACAATTGAGAGCTATAAGGGTCATGAGAAGAAGTCCATTGGCTAGGAATATTGTCCATGGGTGGGATTCAGTTGGCACAAGGGGTTTGATGGTTATGTACCCCTTCATAAGTTGTTATCACTAACCTTGAGTCTTCTCTATCTCTTTCCCCTCTTTTCTTCACATTGCAACCATCACTTGAACACTTGTAGTAATGCCTGCTTATTTCAAAGTAACACAGAATTAGCAACTCAAAATCATAAGCTTAAAATTTCCAATTAGCAAATGGCAACCATTAGATATATAGATGATAAAAAACCTGAAAGGGTTATAGTTAATAATAAGACCCTGTACCATGAAAAATTATTCATTTTCATGCTTGTACATTGTTTTGATTCATCATCGTCCTTTTGCTCTCTTTTTTATATTTTTTTATATTTTTTGCCCATTAGCATCCTTTTATTCCATGTTTTGTATTTTAATTTGTACCTAGACTAACAACGTTAATTGCCAAGCCACTATTAAACCCCCTTAACTTGACTGTTATGGTTTATGTTTTTAATTCCTCTCTCTCTCTCTCTCTCTCTCTCTCTCTCATATCCATCCGTTATAAGACTCACTCCCAAGCCCACACATTTCCTCATTTCCTTTTTTTCCTTAAGTACATAGGCATATCTTCCTTTCCTATATTTTGTCATCAATACTGGAACCAAGAAGGAAAATTTTTGCTATGTAATTTAAACATTCATAATTATCAATCAATGTATTTACTAAATTGACTGCTAAAATTTCACAAAATTCTTACTAGAACGGAGATATAATTCAACATAATAAGGTCATTTCTTGCAAGCCAAATGGCCAATTAGCCCTCTTCTTTTTTCTTTTTTTTTTTTTCTTTTTACCTAAAAATCCAACCCCTCATGTTGTCTAAAAACTTCTTTACAATTGTTAGGCAATACATAAGGTATCCTCCACCAATGAAGAAGACACTCCAATTACAAATGCTTTGAAGAAGCTGTTTTGTCCTCTCAAAAGTAAGTTTACTGATATAGAGAGTTCTATTAAATAGAATTCAAACCAAAGACAATTTAATGAACAGAGGCTTGTTAGCTATGGGTGCGATTATGCTCTGTCCATTATGTGGTATGTATGAGGAAAACGTTAGTCATTTGCTTTTGAATTGCAAGTGCTTTAGCTAAATATGGATGAAGTGTTGCATGTGGTGGGGTGTGTGCTTTGGGAACCCTAAATCAATTGATGTCATGTGCATGCAGTTTGTGTATGGAATGCAAAGTAGGTTTAGTTTAGATGCGGTGGCTTTGATTTTCTTTGTGTAATGATTTAGTCTATTTGGACAGTCAGAAATAGAATTACATAATCGAAGGGATCGATGGGATGGGGGTAGAATATTTGATCTTATTTTATCTTAATCTTTTGTGTGGTTATCAAAGGGAAAGAAAAAGAGCTACACTTTGTATTTAGTGATTGGATTCAGTTTCCTTATCTCAGAATTATTGAAAAGATTAGCAGTTGATGTCTATTGAGAGTTGGTTGTGGCTATTTATATTATGTAAAGAATGGTATAAACGGTTGATCTATCTCTTGTACCTTTATAATAAAATTTGTATTTTTTTGCTAAATTAACAGAAAATTAGAACACTCAAATAGGAAGATCAAATTATCAACATTTTCAATATGCAAACCAAAAAATACAAATATTGCCTTAGTTTCATTATTCAAAATATTTCTTTTTAATAAATTGCTTTTTCATGATTTTGCATAAATCCATAAAAATTTATTATATAACTATGCATAAGTCCATAAACAACTTATCAATGCAGGTTATGATGGAATTATACTAAATTGATGCTATGTTTTTGTGGACTTGAGAGTGAAATGTTATATACAGGGCGTGATATAATTGTATGAAATTATATAAAAGAGAAATGGGCCGCGAAACATGTTGGCCTAGATGTTCGTTAGAGTAGGAATTCTATTAAATTTTAGAGTAAATTCAATGATTGATTATTACATATGTTTGAATTACATTGCAAATATTTTTCTTGTTGGTTTTGATGTTAATGAAAAAATATAGCAATGGAAAGTTATGCCTATATGCTTGGTGAAAAAAGAGAAATGGGGAAACATGTGGGTCTAGATCCCATAATATTTAGAGAGAGAGAGAGAGAGAGAGAGAGAAATTAATTTTTAAAAATTGAGAGAAAAGGATGATATTGAACAAAAAAATTGTCCAAAGATGATAACAAACAAAATTTTAAAGGATAGGGATCTCTTGGCTTTATTCCAAAACTGAAAATACCCAAGTTGCTTAATTTTAATCATCTCTTTTCCCAAATTGCTTTCTTATGTCTCACCATTTGAACTCAAGATATTTATATTATTGGAGTCTTAAACATTTAACATGTTGAAAAACTCCTTTGAAAATAACAAAGTACAGTGTCTCATAGTAAAAACTTGAGACCTTTAATTTATAGTTTTAAACAAGAAAAGGATGGATACAAATGGCTATGCCAAATGTGTTAGATAGCTTAATGGTGACACCAAACATGACTAATTGTTTTCCTATTAATATTAGTTTCTCAAAAATAATTGTGTAATAATTACTACTCTCTATCTCAGAATAATATATGTTTTTAAATTTTATATTTAGATTAAAGATTAATTACAGAAAAATTTATATTCTTATTTATTTTACCATCAAAAAATAAAAATAAAAAGAAATTTTTATAATAAAATGAATAATTAAAGTCAATAGTTAATAATAAGAGTGAAGTGGAAGAAAGAAGTTTTTTTTCCCTTAAAATATGAAATAATGATTATTAATTAAGGACATATTTTAAATGAAAAAACATCAATTATTTCAAAAGGGAAAAGTAAATACTTTCAAGAAGGTAATATTGTAATAACGGAAGCATATATAATCAGCATGCAGCAAGAATACGTAGCATTCTCACATGAATCGCTAACCCTGGAAAAAAAAAACCTATGATAAGGAAAATAATCTCTTGATAAGTTATGGTTTCAGTTGTATCATGAATGCATCGAAACCAAGAAGATGGAGATGATCTAGTAATTAAGTTGGCCAATGGTTTGACATACCTTGGATTAGGGTTATTCTTAACCTTCTTCCTGCCATACTTTTTCCATTTGAACCCATCATCCATTATCTCAAGATCGGATTCGGTCCGGAAAGCAATTCTGCAACCCATCTCGCTCATTCCTCTCCCCATACCAATTTCTTCTCTACAAGAAACCAAATATAAAAGAAAATAAAAACTGTGAGTAAATATATATATATATATATATATCAAACAACTTCCGTATTTAGTTTCATATAAACAAGAAATTAATTGATGAGTTACTAACTCTTGCACTTCTGATCTACTCCATGGCAGCTTACTGATGTGGAAGATGGGAATATTCGGAATGATCTCTTGTGGCTTAACATGATCAATTTGTGAAGGATATACATTGAAACCAATGGTATTATCCTCCTCTGAGCCATGAATTATCATTAGATCATAATCAGATGGCTGAAAGTAACGTTGGTGAACATGACCAGGATTGAAGATGGTGGGGTCTAGGATGTGAGGAATGTTAGTCGGTAGAAAGCCGAGGTTGGACATGGTGGAGTGAGAAAGCTAGCTAGCTAGGGTTTCTGAGAAACATCAAAGGAGGAAAAGGGATACACTTTCTTTGGTAGTACCTAATAGATATATATTATTGATTTTGAAGAGCTTTCATGGCAACTTCCTTGTGGAATAAGACTTAATCAAAAACAATAAAATAACTTCCTTGACCCTTGTGTGGAAGACAGCACATCAGGAAGACAGCGCATCAGCATGGCCAATGGGGTATAGTTACGGCCATTTAAGAATTTGAAAAAAATCACTCAAATTTGTTAATATCGTTTTTAAGATCAACATTGGCTCTCTTACTGTCAAAAATAGTTAATAAATAATAAAATTATTTATATTTGTTATTTAATTAATCAAATTTAATTTATAAATTAATATTTTTAAATCTTATAATTAACTATTTGAAAAAATTATAAACAAATAACAGATCAATCAAACCAAAAATATACACTAATTTGAATAGGCTTAGCCAGCTATAAACTCAGCAATTTATAAACAGATAAAATTTCAATCAAACAAAAATAAAAATAGACACAAATTTGTGTAGGCTTAAGAATTTCTGACATGCCTATGACGTCAGCCGCCAGGGAGCTTCTTCCGAATTTCCACGTGATGACTTGCGGTTTTAATAAATATTTCTTCTTTTTCCTTTTTTTACAAAAAGTTGTTTTTCCTCCTTTTTATTTTTTATTTGTTTAATTTCCTTTTTTGTCCTTGTACCGAAAAAATTCTTTTTTTTATCCCTAAATTTTAAAATCTTGCCCCTTTTTAGTCCCTCTGTCAAATTTTGCTCGCGTGGCACGTTAACTTAACTGGAACAGCTGACGTGGGTATACCAACATGTAAAAAATGCTTACGTGGACTTCTGACACCTTCCATGTCACACTCCACTGTGGCATCCTAGGCAATGGTGGCTGAATTGGGGGCATTCTAGTTTCCTTCCACTGTGGCATCCCCTCAATCTAAGGAACTTCATATTCGTAACTTGCCAAGAACATATGCTTGCTATACTAGTGGCTTACATAGTGTTCATCTTTTTCCTTCCTTTATTTAATGACACTTACAACATGCTTACAAGGTATGCTGGTCATGTTCCAGCACCTGTAGGTACAAGTCCTCCTGTTCCTATCAACAATAAATTTACCCTTGTCTTCTTCTTCAACCTCATAACCAGCGCCACCAGGCCATAGGACCCTGCATCTCTTGCTTCCTTCCCTACTTGCAACAATCTTCTCCCATATTTTAGGACCAAAATCACCAACAAACTTCTCATCTGCAAATGTCCTTCTAGCAACTGTCCTTCTACCACACATCATCCTAAGATCTTCAAGCATTGAGAAAATAGCCTTGTGCCTTGAATCAACAATTAAACCATTAAAAACTTCACACATATTGTTGTCAACTACATATGACTTACTGTCTTCCTTGAAGAATGCCTTTGACCAAAATTGTGGGTGTACTTTTAAGACTGCAGCCCTAGCTCTCTGTTTAATGTTGGTCAATTCACCCAATGCCTTAATGAAATCAGCTTCAGTGGTTGCCTTTGCGCATTTCCAGAATGCTCTCTACAACTCCTTGCCTTTGTTATCCTTTCGGAAGTTGGCATATACGTGTCTTATACATCTTCTATGTTCAGCATTTGGAAACAGCTCTTTAATTGCATTTATTAGCCCCTGCCATGCACATTATAACGTATTAAATGCTAGACAATTGGATAAAAATAAAATATTACTACAACAGAAGGTCCCAACTTGGTCCCTGCACTTTAAAAGTACAGGGATCAAGTTAGAACCTTAGTTAAAATAAAGAAACAAAGCTAGCAATAACCTTCTGTTGGTCTAATATAAATGTGAATCTATTGCCACTACCAATTTGCATATCTGATTGCAGTTTTTCCGAAAACCATCTCCAAGTCTCTATCTTCTCAACATCGACAGCTGCCCATGCCAATGGGTACATCTGATCGTTGGCATCCCGTCCAACTGCCACCAGCAAAACTCCTTTATATGCTCCCTTAAGAAAAGCTCCATCAACCCCTATTAAACACCTACAGCCAGCAACAAATCCAAGTTTCATAGCGCTGAAACATACATACGTTCTCATGAAAATAGGATTTGCATTTGTTGTTGGCCTTGGTGCCTGAATGAGAATTGTGGCTACTGGATCTCTTCTCCTCAACTCAGCAGCACAGTCCCACAGTTTACTATATTCCATCAAACAATTTCCTTCAAACACACGGGCAATTTTCTCTCTTGCCTTCTTGCATTGTTTTCCAATTAACTCCAGCCCAATGTTTCTCCGGATGGTTTGAAAAATGTCATTTGCTTTCAAGTAAAGAGAAGCAAAACCCATCTTCTTAACCAAATACTTTGATGCACTTCTTGAGTTGAATCTCCTACTTGTCAACTCCTCACCACAGGTATGCTCATGAATATCTGTCTTCACCATCCAAGAATCCGTCACTGCATCCTTTGATAATAGTATTTTCCAATCACAGCTTGGGGCATATTTGTAAACAGCCCTAATCCGTTTGTTGTCATTCTTCTTCCATTTAATATCTCTCCTTTGCATCGTGTTGCATCTATCAACAGCAGCTTTAAAATGTGCCTTGCTCACAAAAATCATCCCCAACCTTATATCTAGAAAAGCATCTTCAACTTCTTCATAAACAGCGTGTGTAGCCCTCCTCCTAGAAGCATGATCAGCATCACTTCCATCATCTTCTTCAGTAGAAATGTAACTATATTCTGCATCACTTTGCATTTCATCATTATTATCATGGATTGCTGTAAGAGGGGTACTAGGACTTGCTGCATTCACACCTAAATTAATTGAATTAAAAAAAAAAAAAAAACATTACAACTGTGAAAAGAATGACATACCACCATCATGATAGGAACTAGGTCCTGCATTATCCTCTTACTTGACCTTCTTTCTGGCCTTCATAGCCTCCTCATCTTCGTTATCTGTTAACTCAGGGATATCCATAACAAGATCATAATGCCCTTCATCACCTTCTGCCTCTTTGTCCCATAGAGATCATCATTATGGTCATCAGCCACATTATCACTTTTTAATGCAACTGCACGTTCCTTCTCAACACCAACTTCATCTTCCTTCTCAACACCAGCTTCATCTTCCTTCTCTAACCAAACACCTTTTGTAGTAAAATCTTGTCCAGGTTCATAATAATCCTCAACTACACTCTCCTTTTGGCTTTCCTCCACACGAACCTCGCCATCAACCCCTTTACCATGAGTAAGACCCTTAGTCTCAACCCCTTTACTACCATTATCAATTTCTTGACCCTTGTTTGCATCATCGCCAGGTGCTGGTAATGCAAGAAATTGTTCAACCATAAAAGGGAAATTTGGTATATGAATTACATATATGTGAACCTTATTGTGAACCCTCAATATGTCCAAGATTTCTCTAATTGAAGCATCACCTATTACTTGCTTCAAGCCATCACTAAGTGTCTTTCCAGGTTCCAAATACCATATATGCTCTACCATATCTAGATCATAACGTGCTATTGAAATCTTTTGGAACAACTCCCTCACAGTTAATTTATCTATGTCTACATGCTAGTCCGAACACTCTCCATCAACATATTTAAGTCCATTATCCTGTATTAACCTACCACCTATATGAATAAACAGCACATGCTTCTTGATCCCCTAATCACCCTATTCAATAATGCAAATAAAAAATTCAATATTTTACATAATAAGTGCATCTCAACGACCAAGTTTAACGACAGTAAACAATAAAAAATAACAACGAATTATAGAACCTTATTGCTTCCATATAGGTAAACACACTGACCCATGAAAAACACATAAGGTGGGGACCATATGCCCCTTTTTAGAAAGCAAGTCAATAAACAGATATTCAAAAACCCCACTTTACCCACTTTCTTACTGCACTCATCAGACACCAGGACAATAACAAGACAACCCCACCCATTAAGCATAACCTTCACACATCTCAAAAGAATATTCGTGGACAAAAAGCGTACCTCATTCCCGTTGCCATTTGAATCCCCTTCTAGGTTGATATCTATGATTTCTGCAGACATTGCTTCTCATTCAACGATCGATCACGAGAAAGAGTAAGAAGACTCGATTGTAAGGCGAATCAACAAAAAAAGAAGAGATATTGCTCTGTTAGGGATTGTTTTTAACACAGAAATAGAAAGGAAAAAGGAACGATCGATTTTAGGGTTCTAAAAAAAA